GAAGAAAGAGATAAAAGTTGATCAAACTCAAATCCAGGAGACAGCCTCTTCATTGTCAGCCATCAAACGCGCATTGAGAGTCCTACGAGAGGATAAAGTCTTGACTTATGACACGTTATGGCATTCCCAAATGTGTGAGGTCAAGAACCGCATTATCGGTCTATATTCATTCATTTCGAGCCTTATTCAGTGTTTTAACGCATTGTACCTTGAAAAAAAGAGTGAAGCAGGCGCATCACAATCCTATCTCACTAAGAACTCGCACGCAAGTGCCCATTGCGCCCTCCTCCACTCTCAACAGTCATACTATGTGCACATGGGTTAAAAAATGATATTTGAGTACTCAAGATGACCACACTTAATGTAACATGACACGAGACGAAACATTTTATAATGCTGAAGGTTTAAATAGAACGGAAGCAGCCGGTTTAGTTCAGGTGGTAGAAATTTGTCCCGCCTCTTTTACTTGACTTTGAAATTGACGTTCTTGAGAGCGGGAAGGAAACCCATTGCCAGGTTAACGCTTGTATGAACTGTCCGGGGCAAAGTCTTGACAAACTTCTTACTAACTGCTGGCGGCAATGTAAGTAGAGCCTAAAAAACAGGTTCCCCCTTTGAGGCCCACTAAGGCTCTTGAAAAGTGGATAAGGATTACTCCTATGGTTCCGGAACAGGACACGAGAATGGGGCCGCCGGCAAAGCAGGTGTCCCTGCGTCAAATGCGAGAGAAAGTAAGGGAAGGAGTAAGGCTATGGTCAGGTTTGAGGTTTGGATGAAGGCGAGCGTTCAGGTCACTTAGGGTTGAGCTTAGATTTAACGTTAGGGTGGGCTTTTACTGGAAGGTAAAGATTTTGGGCAGGGTTAGATTTAGTATTAGGGATACGGTTTGGGTTTATGCTGGGGCCAGTATAAAGGTTCGGGCCCTGCATCCAACAACTGACCGCCTCGGACGGTGGCCTGATGCTGCGAATGTGAATAGAGGATGAGGTCGACGGCTCAACGCACTTTCCCCACTCTAAAGAACCTAACACGCTTGAATCTATCACGGTGCGCTAAAAGCTGTGGCTTAGAAAGTTGCCAACTGACGGGATAATTTGGACCGCACG